CTACTAAACAGTCAAAGCAGAGGGCCTATAAATAGGGCTGACAGATTAACAGATTAACCCTTCTATGCAAATCCCACAAGTTTGATCATGCCGATTTGAAATAAAATCAGCACAACCTGGATCACAGATCAATGTTACAATCAATCAGTACTTGTTGGCCATTATCTGTGGGACTCTGTGGCGATAAATTAAGGTGGCTGAACACAGTTTTTGATACCTGTGTTTCATTCACCTTTTTCTCTGAAACCCTTGATCCCTGGGTCGCCAAAAATGGCAGCAGGCAAGTTAACAACACAGACATTGGTTTTTTGATAGTTAAGCTGATGTATGTGCTGTTGCCATGGCAACATGAATAAATGTAAACAGGCCTTTAAAATTGCTTTTGTTTATTTGTAGAAAGTCTAGTCATTAGATTTTCTTTATAATTTGCATGCAACAAGCTAGTAACGATACTCACAAGTTAACACCATTTTGATAATAATTTAACAGAGAGACTTTAATTATCCCTTGCTGAATGTTCACTGGAATATCTAGAATTTCCTTTGTTAAAGTTCAATTTTTTTCAATACTCCAGTTACTAATCTCCTAAAATATTTTCTTGCCAACTTTCGTGAAATTCTAATGAGTGGTTCTTGAGAAACGGGCGTATTTCCGAGAAAGCAATTCTTTATTCAATCGCAATTTTTTGACTTACGGCGCATGCGCTGCATTTAAGTGGGTTCTTTCGGTAACAACGAAAAAGCTGAGAATTGCTAGTTTTTTTGCATCGTCACCTTTTCTAACATATCTTTGTAATAAAAGATTAAAACCATCAATACACTGCGTTCAGTTATGAAGAAAAATTGCACAGATAGTGCGGGTGTTGAGTAAATCAAAAATGATCACTCTATTGACAGCATGTTGTTTTTTGCAATCCTTGTGTGCGAGCTGAATCGCATCAGCAAAAGGGTGCACCAAAACTGTGTTTGGCCACCTTAAGTAAAAAACCTAGTTAAGAAACGTCCGCAGAACGTAATCGCAATGCATGCCGGGAAGGGTCTTTACACCTTGCGCGCGGGAAAACATGGCAGTCAATACAAGACATATTTTTTAATTCTAAAACCAGTTCTTGCTTTCCAAACTTGGCAAACGCTTGGCAAATGGGCCACAACTCACGAGAGGGTTTTTTTCTTGGGCAAGAACTGCTCTTGGACTTTGCTGCCTGGATCAATCTGACTTCAAATGCCGATAACACAATTACGGTATATCAGCTGCCTTCGAAGTTTCAGAACGTATTTTGATTTTGTAAAACGTGTTGATGACTTATGGGTTTATCAAGGCTTTATGATGTCTCTCAGCCACCAGGCAGGCATACAAGGTACTTTAAAACAATACTTAAGGTATTAGTCGACATAGCTCTAATGCAGCACATCTCTTTTTTGTTCGATGGTATTTCCTTTGACGCTCGATCGATTCACATCTTGTGTTTCACGTCACAATAACCGATGTAAACAATCTGTTCCCTGAGATTTCCGCTCTATATACTATTTTCCTTTGACTTAAAGACAGCTAAGATTCTGTGAAATACACTATAAAAAGTCTGCCTGTTTGCTGTTCAACAAAATAATAATAAGGTTTCTTTTGTTTTTCGGTCAGCAAAAGATCTCCAAAAGATGCCGCTTGGAAAACTGAGTTTTTTTGCATACATTATTTCTCGAACATGAAGAGCTACCGAGTGAAAAAAACTTCAATGCAATGTTTCTCAGGTAGAACGAAGCCCACATGCCAGAATTCAGCTATTTTTGAGCACTTTCGAGGTGGCGAAAAAATCTAGGGGACGTTCTTGCTGGTGGCCTTTCATTTAATGTGCAGTAATTGTAGTTTTAATGTGCAGTAATTATTATTTTAATGAGCAGTAATTAAAATTTTAATGTGCAGTAATTATAATAATTTTAACAAGTACATGTAGACAATTTCCATGTTGCCATGTGTCAGTTCAGTAATAGATTACAGATGACGTCAAAATGTGATATAAGAACAAAAAAGTGGCACACAAGCCGTTAGGCGAATGTGTCAGTACTGACTAAAATACGTTTTAGGAAAGTTCTTGCAAAAGCAGTATCTGAAATGTTTTAAGGTTGAAAAAGAAGGAGTCTCTTGGGATAGGATAGGGATGAGATATGTTACAAATAAAGTTGGTTACGTAATAGTACTGATTTCTTGATGGAGCCAAATTCTTTCATGGTGGCCCATGAATAGATTAGCAAGCACATGTACCGGTGCCAATGGGGAGCCCATGGCGAGTTAATCTATCTGATCATAATATTTCCCTTGGAATAGAAAGTGTGTCTGTCTATTCCAAGGGGAACTATTATGATCAGAATGATAGACATCATCACCATGGGCTCCCCATTGGCACTGGTACTTGGTAATCTATTCATGGGCCACCATAAAAGAACTTGACTCCAACATTATGATGGTCCTACAATTTATTTTTACCGCTGATGATGTGTTGTGTGTATAAACACAATTACCTACAGTTTGTTTAAGAAATAGAAAACATGTACCGTGTTTCTATCGAGTTTAAGTATAAATCTACTAGCGTTCTATCATGAATGCCGCGCTCTGATTGGCTTCGCTACCCAGTGTGCCCTTGCTAACAAAATAACGGCTGCTTCTTGGCATTTTCGAAGTGTCTATGAAGAGGATTCAATAAAGTTTTGAGCAACTAGTAGATTTATAGTAGAACAATTAGTTTATTCGCTCTCAATTTCTATGCGTGATAGTTGGTGAGGGTGCAGCCCAAGTCAACTATCACGCAATAGAAATCTCAAGTTCATAATCTAATTGTTTATTGGAAAAACGAGTAGAAGTTTACAAGAACGAGAAATGCTGTGGGAACATGAGCTGCCGGGGAGTGTTTCCCCAGCTTTTTCTAGTTCTCCCAAACTTTCTTGAGTGTTTCTATAACTCGATAGTAACATGGAGAACATGTTATCTATTTCTTTAAGAAAACACCGCGACGAAAAAAGGAAAACAACTTGCTAACTTTGAGCAACAAAATGTAAATTATCTTTGGTCGTGCCATCATTACGTCAGCAGCTCGTGCTAGTTCTGTGTTTCTATCAAGTTTTAGTATAAATCAACTAGCATTCTATCATGAATGCCATTCTCTGATTGGCTATGCTACTCACTATCTATTCTGTGATAGATAGTGAGGTAGCGTGGCGGTGTGCCCTGTTAACAAAATGATGGCCGCTTCTTGCGTTTTCGAAGTGTCTGTGATTTAGATAAAGTTTTGCACGACTAGTAGATTTATACTAAAACAATTAGATTATGAGGTCTTGATTTCCTATACGTGATAGAAATCTCGAGCTCATAATCTAATTGTTTTATAGGAACACGATTTTCAACCAATCAGCATGCGCATTTTCTTATGGCTGTTTTCTAAAAATGTTTATTATATGAGGAATTGGCCGCACTCTTGATATTTAAACATTGAGAGTTGTGAGATACAGTTGCCTACGCCTTGTGTTATGTAAATGTACGTCCCCTGTGGTCTTCAAAATTAAGTTAATAACTTAACCATGCATTCAGGCGAATTACCAGCTATCCTCTTAGTAAAATTATTATCTGATGGTGTGTCATGAGCATTCCATTCTAATTTGCCCAATTTGGTATCTTAGTCCCTTATCACCACTTTTCCAGCTGAATGGGTAGCATCTCAGTTGAAGAGTTTTAGTTTTTACTTTTCTTTCAGCCAGTTTTCTCTCAGTCTGGTCACATGCATCACGGTTTTTTTCCTCGGGTTTTTTTCAGACA